TGAATAAATTTGATACAGCATATTTTCCAGGACAGATTACATTAACTATTTGGAAAACGTGTAACGTTTTAAGGGGGCTGTTACACGCGCCGCGGTTCGCTTACGCTGAAGCACAAAGAGTTTTCGCATACAATATTAATTCTCTCTTTGATGTGCCTTTCTTTGTATTTTTAGTCTATTTGACTTGTCTAAAATAAGCATGTTTGTGATACACACATATTCTCTACAAACACATCCAAACAACATTGAACTAACGTTATGTGACGTACCTCCGCCCATCTCCTACGCATAGTTTACCTTTTTTTGGCTTTTACGAAAAGATCAATATTAGCTATTGATAACATATTTTGAAAACTTGTTTACCAATGAGAACGTTTTGTGGCGTCTCACCAAAAAATGGTGGTGTGTGGTGGCAGGGATCCTTTCGGTGATCTAACCGCAAGGAACTCTGGGAAGGAGAATAGAACCTCCGCCCCGAGAAGAGGCCGTCACTATTGTTTTCATGGGCTTGCGAAGCGACTAGTTGGCAAGAAGCGATCGTTCGCACTCCGAGATAAAATCACGCCTTTGTTCGGCGTTGTTGTTATTAAATATACACGCATACGTTATGTTAATAAAACAACTTAGTATGAGCAATGTTATCGCAGACATTCGCGAGCGACATGTGTTATTAAACATTCGCATGCTTGTTGGCAACAATGTTACGTGTGAGTAAATTTTTTTCGCACAATTTGCAGAAGATTAAAGGGCGGCAGTCGTCGCGCCGCGTCCTGATCGATATGGGACTCATAGCGACGAACACAACGCTTGTAAAATACGTTGTTTATTTACATGAAATTTGAACACGCGCTGCGCGACGACTACCTCGCTTTAATACCTAAGACAAATTGTCGTTTTACAGTACCGTTCGCTCTACAACTGATACAACTGTGGACCCCATATTCCGTGATTTTTTCTTTTAATCGTATCAAAATCGCTTATTCAAACGGCGGTGATAGGTCCGGTACGCAGCATGTGTTCGAATTACATGCAAACAAATAATGTGCTTTAAACGTGTTTTATGCGTCGATATTGGTAAAAGTCGGAAAGAGTCATTATTTTCAATGACAGGAGGGAGGGTGGTTGGGTATAAAGAGATAGGCCATGAGAACTATATAATACAGCTGATAAACGTGCATTACCAGAACATTTTTGCAGAGAAAATGAACTGAAAAATAGATCATGTGTATGTTTCGCTGAGTAAGTGTGACCGTTTACCTCCCAAAATACCCCCCAAAATATGAAAATATTACGCTAAGCTATAGCCAAGAATAAATTGCATTTTTTTTTCCTGGTTAGCCAGAATGGTGTGCACATTTTCATAGGCTGACGAGTTACTTGAAAGATGATGGCACTTTTATTTGAGGCTTTTTTTTTGTGCTGTTGGTTGGAAACATGGATGAACGGTGTACAGCGACTCTGTGCGTTTGGATTATTTGAAACCTGTTCGACTTACCGGTTTATTAACTTCAGGTCAGTTATTATGCACAAGCGCAAACACGATAAATGCGCCAACGCTATCAATTCGGGATTCAGGGTTTGCTGACATTTGGAGTGCTACCTTGAGTATACGATAATTGTTCCTAATTGTTTTATTATTGCTGAATCACGACATGTTATCATATGAACAAACGCGTATAATGAGTCATGTGATTAAAACCTTCTGCCTAATTGGATATAGATATCGTGGGTGACATTTCCCTATGCAGAGCTCGGGCCATGAGTGAGATAACAAGTGAAATCTTATTGCCACTGAGCAAATCGGACGTCGACCATTGGAAAAACTCTGCAGTCGTACTCCGTATTCCACGCTAAGTGGGTATTACACGCTACTTATCATAAATGACGTAAATGAACTACCTCGAAACAATACTAGTAATACGCATGACAAATCCCGCAGCGGCAGTGCCCATTACTGACTACTTGCCTGTTCAAGCCTCGTTTTCGCATCGTTACAGGGGTACACAAAAACGACTGAACACGCAAACTGTTACTGTTACCTATCCTCCAGATGCCTAGTGGCACATAGGGCCTCCACCGAACGTCTCCATTCTGTCCTATTAGCTGCTGCAACTCTGAATTCCGCCCATGACTTCCATCCAGCCTTGGTTCTTTCCTTTTCTACAGTGCGTCGCAAAGTTGTTTTGGGTCTACCCCGTTTCCTTTTCCCTTCTGGTGCCCATGTCAATGCTGTGTTACAGATACTTGTGGGTACCTCCCTTAAGGTGTGTCCAATAAATTTCCATCTCCTCTTCATTACTATAGTGCTCAATTTCTCCATCCTAGTCCTGGTTAGCAGTTCTTCATTCCTAACATGGTCTTGCCATTTTATCGTCATTATCCTCCTTAAACACTTTGTTTGAGAAGTATTGAGTTTTCTTTCGTCGCCTTTTGTCATCTTCCAGGTTTCAGATCCATATAACAGCACTGACAACACCAATGATTTGTACAACTTGAGTTTTGTTGCTCTCTTGATTTTGTTACTGTTCCATATTTTATTAAGCTGCATTTCTCCCCATTGAAATTCTGCTTTCCATGTCGACCATACTATAATAGCTGATAAGTAAAATATACTGTTTTCATGATCAAGACACTCTTTTTACGAAGCAAATATGTACGGTAAAGCAGCCACTGAAAAAAATACGTCACACATTGTGACGGCCCGTTCTACACTGTCAACATTCTCCCCGCAAAGCGCCGTTACTCGACGAAAACGCTCTTAACTAAATGACGCACTAACGCAGAGAGAAGATGGAAAACGGCTGATGTCTTATATCTCAGAATCGATACCTGTTTATATATTATGTTTTTTTTTCTTTCTTTCAGCGAACTATTATAGATACATAAACGCCACCAATTAAAACATGTTTTAAATAATGTTAATTATTATTAAATAAATTATTACATACTTGTACTTCAAATCTATAATTCTTGTTGTTGTGGGAGGAAGTAATTGATTACGGGGGATGTCTGTTCGATCTCATAAACTGAATAATACATGGTCGTTTCGGCATTGTCGTGATTTGCTGCTTGCCTTTGAGCTGGTTTAGGAAACAGATTCCAATCAGGGCGATGTCACAAATTAAGTTTCTTTGACAAACCATTCACACATATTGTCACCGTACATCACTCAGAGCATGG